AAGGCTTGGTGGCTGTTTGAAAACGAAGAAGGGGTAAAGAAAAGCTGTTAGGATGAGGAAAATCAGTGAGTACATATGTGGTTGAGAAAAGGAGTCAGTGCCTTTAGAAGGTGGAAGGCAGAGAATCAGTCACAGAGATGTAAAGGAGATCAGAGTTATTTATTTGCTGAGATAAGAGAGAATGAGGGAAGAATTCTGTCTTTCAATAAACATTTGCTGGACACATAGACTTGCCAGGCACTGTTCTCAATGTCAGAAATAGGCAAAAGACTTATTTTCCTGGAGATCACATTCTAGTGAGAGAAAATAGACAATAAGCAGATACATATATAAGTTGTCTCATAAATGCTATAAAGATTAAAGCAAGGTGAGGAAAAGTAGAGGGACAGGAGGGCATGTATTTAGGATAAGACAACTTCCCTAAGAAGGCAGATTGTGATCAGGGAAGGGAGGGGGTGGGTCATACAGAAGGGCAATTCTAGAAGGAGTAACAAGTGCAAAGGCCCTTCGATGTGAGCTACTTCTTGTGTTCTAGGAAAAGCAAGGACGCTGCTGCTTGCAGTGGACTGGGCGAGGGGAAAGATAGGGAATATGGAGGGCTGTATTCTAAGAAACCATGAAGGCCACAATCTGAACACTGACACTGAATAAGGAAACTTGTGGCAAGTTCTGAGTTGGGAAGTAACATGGTCTGACTTATCTTTTCTCCTCTTCCTGTTCCTCGCCCTCCTCCTCCCTCTCCTTTTTCTGCTCTTCCTCCTCTTCTTCCTCTTCTTCCTCTTCTTCCTCCTCCTTCTAGATAATTTTGCCTGCTGGATGGAGGACATGCCATAAAAAGGCAAGGACAGAAGTGGGGAGAACATTCCAGGAGCCTCCTCCAGTAATCCAGGTGAGAGGTGATGGAGAGAGTGGTAGGGATGTGAAAAGTTTTCAGATTCTGGATATATGTCCAAGGAAATGCTGCAGGAATTGCTGATAGAGTCAGTAGGTGTGAGCTCTGAGGGAAAGAGAACTCCAGGATGGGCAAAACTATTGGGAAATTTGCAGAAGGAAGGGAAAAAAGAAGAGTTAAATAATAGCAACCTTACTGAGTGTTTATTGTGTATCAAGCATCATGCTGAGCTCCTTACCTATATTACATCATTTACTTCTTCTGACAACCTGAATTTGTGATGAAAGAACTGAGGCTACGAGTGTGTGAGCAACTTGCCAGTCACAGAGCAAATGGTGGGCCAGGCGCCAGCCCCCCTGCAGTCTGGCGATAGAACACACTCCATTAATCACCCGTGAGATACAAACTCTATCTTCTCTGAGAAGTGAAAGGTTATCCTGAGTTGGGGAAAGAGGGTGTAGGAAGGCATAGTCAAGATTGGGAATTCAAAAAGAATGCTGACTGATTAATTGCACAATGTACATCAAAGATTTAAACAACAATAAGAAGACAACTATTAACAATGCTTTCTCTTGGGGAGTTGATATGGTTTGGGACTCATCCTCTTGTGTTGGCTTGCACCATGTCTAGATGAAGAAAATGACTGAGCTGTGGTCCTTCTGAACCTTTCTGAAAGTAACCTCAATCACTAAGTGATCCCTTCCCCGCACCCAGTCCTATGAGATAAACGTGCCCATGATCTTATTTAGCATAAACACTAACCTGAAATTGGACTGGCTGATGAGATGGAAGTTGAGTCATGACGTATTTATTAAGCCAAGCACTGAGTTTGACACTCAGAGGAACACCAAATTAATTCAAGACACATTTCTTGCCCTTAAGGGGCTGACAGCATTGGCTTGGCTGAAGGACCACCCAACATCCATTAGGATGGAGAAATCAAATCTCTACTTTGGGCTCATTGTACTGCACAGAGTGACAGGCCAGGAGATTAAAAGGGCCTTGGTGCATGTGGAATGCACGCCCAGCCTGCAGTTCCTCAGCCTGTGTGCATTAACTCCACAAGCAGCCTGGCTGCAGAGTGAAGGTGGCTGTTTGTGCATAAACATTGTCATTTCACTGGGACTGCTATTTCATCTTTGAACCTTGGCATCAAAGGAACACTGACCTTATTCCTGTAGCTTGCCTTTCTTTGAAGCGTATGGTTTTGCATTGCAGATTAAAGTGAAGACATTCATCAAGGAACAGATCTGGCCAACCGCTTCCCAAACTCAACCCGAAACAAAGCCTTGAAAGGCTCCACTCACAGTTGTAGTGGAATGGGCCGAAGATGAAGGATCCGAGCCAGGCTCCTCTTTCTCAGATCCTGGAAGGCGGCTCTCGCATGACACAGTGCATCTCTTTGAGCTCTGGGCAACCTTACCCTGCAAGTCAGTCTATCTCTGCAGACAGGAGTGAGCTAATGTAATATTCCCAACCCGTCCTGCTCATTTTATTTAAAGCAGGCCTTGTTGTAAATGAGGCCAGTGTGATCATTCACTGTGTGCCTTTGAATTCTTCAAAAGATGTGTCAGGCCTAACCACCTGAAACTTGGCTGAGGGTTCTGACACTTTTCTTTGCTACTTCTTTCCTTTGTTCATTTCTTTGAAAAGAAACTGTCCTGTCTTTCTCCCTGGCTCTCCTATCTCTGCTCTAAGAAAACCAGACCTTACAGATAGCATTTACTGCTTCTTTTTTTTTTTCCTATTAAAATTATAGGAGAAGTAAATGAGAAGCTTTAACTGTGAAGTTAAAAAAAAAAAGAATTCTTTAATTACATCATATTAGACTAAGAGAGAGAATCGCTGGAAGTATCTCCCACCTCAGGGTAAGAAAAATTGATGACAGATGATTACTGAAGGGGAGGACATATGATCATATCTTTCTTTAAATGTAACATTTCTGCAGATCTTCAACAGACTTCTGCCTGTGATGAAGCATGAAACCAGTCCAGAGGAAAGAAGGAAATGATTGTAAAGTTGCATTCATGTAAATCAACTAATTCTGATAACATATGCACCAAAGGGTTTAAGGAGTTAGTAAAAATCCTTATTGAGACATAGGCTAATTTTCAGAATAACTGTTTCCTAGTTACTCACCTTTAAAACAAGACCAAAAGATAATTTTGGTCACTAGGAGACAATTCACTTAACTTTCATTTTTGCTTAAATCTCACATAATTGATTTTCCTTTAAGAAATTCTTAAAGTTCAAGAAGACAATTAATATGGCTTTGTGGGAAACCAGTGGTTTCAGACATATTTTTCATACAATCTTACAGCTCATGCAGTAATGGATGCCATGCTTCAGTATTAAAAGGCTGAAAGACTCCTGTTTACTCAATATCTGTATCCCTTAATTTATCCCATCTCCTTTTTTGGGGTGTGGCTATGTGAATAGTTTTGGCAAATGGAGGGTAAGCAAGTTGATAAGTGTCACCTCTAGGCTGACCTTCCTTTTCTCTCTCTCGGTGACCATGGTGAGTCACTGCCCCCACAGTGAGAATTGTGTAGAGAGTTGACTGACTGCTTTGTATAAGACTTGTTGCAAGCAAGAAGCAGCTTGGTTCTGTTAAACCACTGAGGTTTTCAGGATTTATTTGTTATGATGGTATAACCCACCTTATCCAGACTAATCCAGGATCTTAGAGGACATCTAGCCCTACTTCACTTCCCTCCTGCATCACCCCTGAGAAGCGGTTCAAATACTTCTTGAACATCCCAGGGATAATAACACAAGATAGTAGCAAACAATTATATAATGCCCACTAATAGTTTCCAAGCACAATGTTAATATTTAACATAGATTAACATAGATTAATTGACCTAATTATCACCAAAACCTTGACTCATAAATATTATTTTCCTCATTTTATAGCTAGAGGAACTAAAGTATAGAGAAGTCAAATAACTAGTTCAGGGTTAAAAATATAAGTCACTTGGCTAAGGCCACACACGAGTTTTCAGTATCCCAGGAATCTGATCTAGGCAGTCACCTTCAGTCTTGTACCATGAGACCTCCCTAGGCTCTGGACTGTCATATCCTTTTCACAAAGACCTTGTACAAGATGCAGCCATAACACCCCAAAGTCAAGCCCTGCAGGGACCCTAGAGAGCAACCAATCACTGCATTTTATGTGGAGAAAGAAAAAGACCCCTCTCTCTCTCTCTGTCCTCTCTCTGTGTGTAGTAGGATTCTGGTAAAATTTGAATATAATACAGTATTCTGCTGCTTTAAAAATATTAAAAACTGATGGACTTCCCCATACTTCTACTGAAACAGTAGATTTGGAAGGTTGCACTGAACAATGTAGGGCTTCATAGCAGCAGGGAGCTGGGGGTGCGCACATGGATTGTGTAGCCCAGTGGCCAGTTCTGGGGTCAGTGTAAATACTGACTTCCATAAATGCACTCACTAATTTTCCTGGCAGCAAGAGTTGCCTTATTCATCATTGGATCCCCACTGGTGTGTGACATATCACAGACGTTCTATAAACTATCTCTGAAAGACAGAAAAGTCTTTGATAAAACAATTTTTAAAAAAGTAGATTAAGTTAATTTGGGTTGAGCAAAGTAGCACAATTTAACTGTGGTAACCCACTGGAATAGCTGGAAAGTTATTGTATGTATTTTGTCTGTATATCTTCAAATGACCAGTGGTAACTGTCCTCTACTGGTCCCTGGCTATAAAAAAAATTAAAAAAAACTAAAAAAATTGAATGTTAAATTGCCTACTTTGATTCAGGAAACACAAGTGACAGCCCTAAGCAAGCCCAGACAAGCACACACATACATAAAATGTTTGCTTCATTATTAACATAATTGATCATGCAGAATTAGTCAAATTTGGTCATCACATGGAGGCGTATTAGAAAGTTTGCTTCAACAAAGGATTTTTTGGTGTGTGTACTAATGAGTTTTAGAACATTTATCACATGGCTTGACTTACAAGTAGTGTTACATAAGGCAAAGGTGTTCATTTGAGAAAGGGGGAGATGGATAGAGCTGAAGGGAGACAGAAGCTTGGGAGAGGAGTTCTTGGGAACTGTGCTCTCTGCAGACCCTCTTACCTTTTGTGGTCCCATCCAGTCCCATGATTAATTTCATTGATCTGATGATTTGTTCTGCTATCGGGGGGCTCATGGATGTAGCATAAACAGCACTATGCGAGTAAGCTCGTAAATAATCCACAAGGTCCTTAAATAATGGGGGAGAAACCCAAAAAGAAAGCAAATAAATCTCAGTATTGGTGGTGAGAATTACATCTAGCTTCATCCCCATCCCTCATATCAAAAGACATTTGATCTCACAGCTCAAAAGGTGAATGTGGTCTGACTTTCAATAGGTGTCACCATTTTTTCTGTCTTCTTCCTAGTCTCACTCTCAACAATCCAGGATTCATATGAAAGTGAGATGCTGCAAGTTTGGAGTTGAAATTTAAGGCAAAACCAAATGCATGAAGGAAAAATGATTTCCAATGCATTTGTTGAATACCTACTCTGTGTGAATGCTGATGAGTATTCAGGAGTACCCCAAAATATAGGACATGGTCCTTGCCCTTGAAAATATTATATATTGTTTTGCCCATGGACAAGTAATAGTAGAAAAAGTAGCAGGACATGCAAACTAGTATGTACAACAGAACTACAAGATGCAGAGAGAAGAGAGAGGGTGTTGCTAGTTGGATAGGAGAGATTCCAATGAGGAGATGGGATAGATTATCATGGGATAGATGGGATAGAATGATGACAGATAAAGAGAAAAAGAGAACTTAGAGGAGTAAGGAGGTGGTAGAAGAAAAAAATTGAACAAAAGTGTAGAGGCAAGAAAGCAGAAGGCATATATAATGGATTGCAAAAACGGCTGTAATTCTTTCACTCCCTGTATTCACGCTCTTTGCAATCCAACTTTGCAGCTCCTTCCATCAAGAGGTAGATAAATCTGGCCTGACCTGTGACCTTCTTTGACCAATAGAATGTGGCAGAGATGATGATGTGCTAGTTCTGAGGGCAGGTCTCAAAAGGCTTCAAGTGCTCTGGTTCTCTCAGAGCTCTCTTCAACTGCCATGTGAACAAGCCGGAACTAGTCTGCTGGAGGGTGAAAGCCATCAAGGTAGAGAAGTGCCATCCCAGCTCAGGCCATCCCAGGCCCACCAGTGCCCAGATGACCCAGCATTTGACTGTCCTGCAAAAGCAAACCCAGCTGAAGCAATTCCAAAAGCAAGCCCCAAAGAACTGCCTAGCTGAACCCAGTCTACGTAGTTGATGTGAAGAATTGTGAGCTAATTACATAGTGATGTTTTTAGCCAGTAAGTTTTTTTTGGGGGGGGGGTGGTTGTGTGGGGAAGTAGTTTGTTACATAGCAAAAACTAATTGATACAGTGTGTTTGCAGGACAGCAAAGGACAGTTTGAGTAGAGTTTAGGGTGATGAGAGGTTGTCCCCTTGAGGGGAGGTATAACCCAGGAGTTTCATACAGCACAGGCTCTAGAATGTAATTGCTTGAGTTCAAATCCTGGCTTTGCCACTTACTGCTATGTGACCATGAGTGAGTTACTAAGACTCTGTGCCTTAGTCTGAGTCTATGAAAAATGAAATAATAGTTAATACCTACCTCAGAATCATAATGAGGATGAAATGAATAAATACATATATTTTCTTAGAAAAGTGTCTAGCACTAGTGAATACCCGATGTGGTTGGTGATTATTGTTGATGAGTGGCCACTTCAAAGATTCTTAGAACTGGGAGCATAGGGTGGGAGGAGGGGACCAAAATATAAAAACTCCTTGGAGTGTCTTCACTCTGGCTCCCTCATTTCATAGAGGGTAATGTTCTTAGGTTATGTAACTACCCATGGGCAGAATCAGACATCAAACTGAAGATTTTCATTTTGGCTCCTCCTTATCCTTATTGGGAGGGGTAGCAGTAGGATAAAAAAAAAAAGAGGGGGAAAGAGTGGCAATTTAAAGAAGGGAGGACCCAGACCTGATGACAGATTGAAAGACTCTAAAGAGATAATGAGGCTAGAAGCTAACACTAGAGCTGGTACTCACTGGGGGCTTGAGGTTCCATTTAAGAACTTTGCAAGTGTTAACTCATTTAAGCTTCCCAATAACTCTATGAAGTAGGCACTATTTTTATTCCAGTTTTGTAGATGGAATAAGAGAGTCACAGAGGGGTTAGACATTTATTCCCAAAAAGGTAGTAGAATAGGGATTTTGGCTGAAAGGACCTGGTTCTAGTGATTCTAACCTTAGACCACACTCTATTGCTTTTCCAGACTTCTCTCCAGAAGAGCAAGCTTGGTGTGGCATGAGAGGATTCAGGAGACCACAGACACCAACTCAACTCTACTTCACAGAGATTACTCCTCTCTTTTGGGAGCTTGGGGGAAGAATTCTTGATATACTCAAGTCTATATAGTACTAAGCCACAGACTAAATCATATCAATCTCAAAACGTTTCATGTCTATCTATCTCTCTTCTTTCTCCAAAAGGGATTGCAACCTCCCTGAAAGCAGGGATGAAGTTATATACTTCTTTAAACCCACTCTAGAGGGCACTGAGCAGAGGCCTCGTCAATACTGTTGGCCTAATGGAAAGTAGAGGGGCTTCAGATATGGAGGAAGGAAGGCAAAGTTTCTTGAAGTATATGGGGTACTCGGCTGCATTCTTAGGAACAAATATCACCATATTCTCCTAGTTTGGGGGGCCTTGCTGACAAAGACCAGACAGGGAAGCAAAACAAACTTTCTTTGATCCTTAAAAGGGCCCTGATTTTCCTTCATGCATTGAGAGCTTTTATAAAGTCAAGGTCATGAGCATTCTTAGTTTGATTAAATATGTCATCAGTGCATCATTGCACTTTAACATTAAGGCTATCTTTCCCACAATCTTTTTCTTCTTCTTGTTTTTATTTTTTGAACAGAGTTCGCTTTCTCTGAATTTGAGTTTGGAGATGGGAATTAATTTACTTGTGTGGTTCAGAATGTGGGGCTCTTTGAGTAACCTCTGGAGAGCGTCAAGGAAGGTCTTGATTCCTGGCTACTGATTCCCTCCTTTTATTCCTCGTTGAGCACCATGAGTCACAAATTAAGTTGGCTTTGGTCTTTTGCAAGACGAGTCTGGGTTGTGTCTTTCTTCAGGGTGGGTTAAAGATATCCTCATACCAAAGTTTCCAAGTCCATTTATGAGTTCAAAACCTTGATTATTTTCTCTACCCATAGGCCTGGAGTTCAAGGGCAAGGGTGGCTTTTTGGAAGGAAATCAGACAGGAGGCTTTTAGAATAAACATCATCCTGCTCATTCTCTGACCTATTTACTTCAAAGGGCTGTTAAATACAGCCAGGGCCTAGCACTGCGGGGCAGAGTGGCTCTTTTGTGGGGCTTTCCCTTTCCTGGTGTGCAGGCTGCAGGGGTTGACTCTCACCTGTCCTTCTCCAGAACTTCAGCCTTCTCCAGAATTCCAGCCCTATGAGCTATCAGTTCTGAGGGCTACCTTTGCTTTATTCATTTGCAAGTATCTGGTCAGCCTGCGAAGGATGTGGAAGCCAGTGGCATGCAAAAGGACTCTGGCTCCATGCCTGGAGAAAAATGTGGGGTCTGCACTGTTGACCACATCTTCCCAGCAACTGGATAAATACAAATTTCAAAAAATAAAATTAAGAAACCTAGCCCCATCAGCTCAAGATTTCCTCCAAAGAAGCCCTTCATGGTATGGAGCTCCTGCAGGTGGAGAGAAATGATTTGCTGACATTTCTGATGTGATCTGAGAAGATTTCAAAAGAACAGAACCCTCCAAATCAGGCTGCTCATCGTGTGTGGCAGCTCCAAACTCAAGGTGAACAAAAGAGCAAAATCTTGCTGGCCCTTGAGAGGCTGCTTTAGCAGTCTCTCAGAGGTGGGAAGAAGAGGCCACAGCCCAACAGTCACCTCCAACAAACAGGTAAATTTGTAGGACATTTTGTGAGGAAATGGCTGAGACCAAAACAAAACTTCTATTCTCTGAGGTAGTATTTTCTTCACGCTAAACCATTTTTTTCCTCTTTTTGTTTCTAGATATTTTTCTCTTACATGACTATATCTGGTTGCTAATATAAGGCTCTGACTTTGAGTCTATTCCACAAAGATGTCTAGAACCTCCTAGGTACTCTTATTGGGAATACAGTCCCTCTACAACAATATTGGCATCATTGAAAAAGAGAGTTGAGAGCCAGATGTGTTTCTTTGTTTTCTAGGTTTTTGGACCCTAGTAGTTTTCAAATCTTAAGATTTATTAGGAACTCCATGAACATACTGAAATTAAAATTAGGGTTTCATAAAAATATCTGGGGATGTGTATATTTTAACATTTTTTCATGGTTAATTGTGTTGCTTTTGTATCATTGGTTTAGAATCTAGATATTTGTTAGTACCCCCAGACAGAGATACACTGCCAAATATGTAATGAAACTCTGAAAATTCTACTTATTTTGAACAGGTAAATAGAAAAACTCTTTTTCAAACACAAATCTTTAGTATTTCCCTAATCCCATGTTCTTTCAGTTAAACAGACTCAAAACAAAAATTCTTCATGAAATTATCTAAAGTTTAGGGGAATAAAATATATGATTTAAATGGAAATTATACATAATGTAAAATTAGCATAATTTTAAAAATTAAATGCATAGAGGAGAAGATACAGGAATTAAATTAAATCCATTCAATCATGGACTTATTGGGCTGGAATGAAACCAGTTTATCTGGGTTTATCCCAGTCTCAGCCAAACCGTTTCACCTAGGTGTGTCTTTGATTGATTTTCAAATCATCAGGGGATGACACATGCATTTTCTCAAGTGCCTCCCATCTCCTGCTCATCACCCAGGTCTTGGAAGCTGCCCTGTTTTCAAGGTTTTGCATCTTACAGTTTTAAGGCAGTAGGTCTCAGCAAAGGCGAACGGGCCTTTGCCAAACACGCTGTAATACTTACTGCCACCCAGTGGTAAATTCAGACACTGCACTGTAATGTGGAAGGGGAGGAGAAAAGAGGGAAAGAAGGGGAGGGAGGAAGAGGAGGAATGAATGAGGCAGTTTTCTGGATCCCAATAGGCATAGAATGAATGGGCAAAAGTACAAACTTTTCTGCATCCTGATTAATGTACATAATAATCATGTTTGCCATTGCTCAGATGAGCGGACGCTGTGTATACAAGAGCACCTGTCCTTCGGAAGGATGCATGAGAGGGAATCTTAGTGAGCTGCTCCTTACTTCAGTTGATCACAAGCTTTGTGAACAGTGGGTATCAAATAAAGGGACTCTAGGGAGAAAAATGTGGCATCCACCAAATCTGACAACATTTCAAGGATCTGCTTGCTTCAGTTTATTCAGGTGCCTTTGGTTCAGGAAATAGAGTTACGCTTGGTTAAAAATCTTGCAGCTTAGAACTGCTGCTAAAGTAATCACAAAACCACAAGCTCACAAAGCAATGTAGTTGGGATATGGGAGCTCCTACATTTGAAACCCTCTGATCCCACTGCTTCGACAGTCTAGGTAGAGAACATTTAACCTTTCACTAATTTGAGCTGAATTTTGTAAGATCCTGGGCATTCCCTATGTTTTTAGCATTACCCAGCTAATTCCCACCGGCCAGTGGAGAGAGGATGAAAAACAATGCTTTGAGCCCGAAAGAAAACAGTGTTTATTGAAGAGTAAAGACCACTTACAACTCTGAACATTTTAAGCATCTGTGCGTCTCATGACAGGGCCAGTGGCCAAAATTAAATCTGTTGTTTTAAATCACAGACTTTCAATGAGAGGGCTGTTTTCTGCTGCACTCCCTGGCATGTCTAACTGGTTTACCAGAAAGCTGAACTCTTCTTCCTGCTCTTCCCAATGGATAAGGAATTGGGACTTTTTGTTGCTGCCACCTGGACACACCGGTTTTGGGCCTATTGTGTTGTTCTAGTCAGAGCCAACATCACTGTCACACGAGCTCTTTGGGACAGGTGTGGGTTTGTCTGAGATAGCTGTCAGGACTTGGATAAGCCTGTCCTCTAATAAGGCAGACAACTGACACCTTCATCCCTCAAACTCAGGTTTGAACATTTGATTTTTTTCTCCTTCCCTTCCCTCTTCTTTTTAAATTTCTCTCAAACATTTATTGTTTTATATTCACAACTCCCTTGGTGATTAGAATGACAGGGCCAATGTTCAGTTAACAGTCTAATCCTGTTAGATCAGAAATTTAAAGATATATAGATAAAATATCATAGGATGGCAAGATTTGACCTATGGTTTATCCAACATAGAAAAAATTACTTTGCTGAGAAAATGTGTTAAAAGTACTTTCCTGATCCTGCCACCATTTTGATTAAAACCCTTAAAACTCTTAACTTGCAGCACAGGGTCAGTCTCACTAATACCCAACCTTTGTCTACTGTTATTATTACCCGCTTTATGTTTTGCATGCCACAAGAAAAGGGTTACTAATAGTTTTCCTCACATCCCCTTGTCCCTTCTGTGGCTTGGTAGACATGATGCCTTCTCTGTGAAATATAATCCCCCATCATTTGTCTACGAGACTGATGTTCATTCTAAAAGATGTCCTAGATGCCACCTAACAGAGGTAATTGTCCCTCTCCTTGGTATTATGTACTGATGTACATTGCAAGCATTATCATTTTATTTTAATGTGATTACTCATGATGTGCTCATTACTATTATTATTAAAGGGGGAGTTGCTTGATATTCTGGGCCTTACCTGGCTGTGAACTCACCATAGCTAGGCTGCAGTGACCAGTCAAGGTGGGGTGAACTGTACTGAAGCTTTCACGGAATTCAGAGAAGCCCTGCAAACTGTGTCCCCAGAGTGTTCAGGTTTTAAACAGACACAAGTAGTCCATCTCTTACCTTCCTTCCGGCTAGGTAACCTCCTGCAGCTCCGAAGCTCTTGGTGAATGTGCCCATGTACACATCAACTTCGCCAGGGTCTATGCCAAAGAATTCTGTGACACCCCGGCCAGTTGGGCCCAAAGACCCAATACTGTGGGCTTCATCTATGTAGAGATAAGCCTTGTATTTCTTCTTCAGAGCTATGATCTGGGGCAGATGCACAATGGAACCTTCCATGCTAGGGCAGAAGGAGAAATGCTCAGAGCAAATGAATACCCTACTGTGAAGTTCTGTCCATCTCCCCATCAATGCATCCTAGACAGTCTACCCTGACACCTGTCAGGGATGACAGGGACATGTCATTCCTTTCCTCTGCAAGCATGTTTTATTTGGCTAAGACACCCTCTCAATCTTGTAAGTCTGCTTCAGCATCTATGCTACTTGAATAAACTAATTTATATTCAGTGAATTTGAGTGCTTTAGGTCACAATTAATTCCCAAGTAAACACTCAGCTCACTGAATTATTGATTCAATTGGTTTGTAAAGCTGACTAGTGTAGATAGGCTGGCCATTTTGGGCTCTAGATATTCTTCTAGATTTAAATAAATTGCTCATTGGCAATCCACTGTTATATGCCTGGCATTGCCTACTTGGCTATCTGTGTTATTCCCATGAATTGCTGTCAAAAAACAGACAAAGGTGATAAAGAAAACAAGAACAGTGTTTTATTCTGTTTGACCTAAACTTAGTATTGAATTACCAGAAATTAAGGGAGGGAATTAAAAACACACAAACAAATTTTAGTTAAGATATCATAGTATTAACTGAAGTACCAAAGAGAGTCCTTAGGACATCCTTCCTGTTGAGTACTCACTGCAAGCCAAAGACTTATTTCAGGTACCTGGTATGTCCCCTGTTTCTGTTACTTTAAGGCAATGGAACAGAAAGTTGAGTGAGCTTCAGAATGCCCTGAAGGCTCTGTTAAAACACATGTTGCTGGACCCTTGTCCCTGGAATTTCTGATTCAGTAGGTCTGGCATAGGCTGAGAATGGGCATTTCTTCTAAGCTCCCAAGAGATTCTGAGACTAGTGGTTGGGCACCACACTTTGAGGACGATGCTATTGATACACTCTTTCATTTTAGCCCCAAGTGTTTTATTTTTCATAATATTATACATTGCAAAAGCACTTCCAGTCCTCCATCAAAGGGGAAAATATGAAGTCAATAAATAAGTAAAATTGAAATTTATATTTACATGGCACCTCGGGACCTCAATGGATTTAAAAAGAACTGACTCTCGTCAGTTCTCAGAACACTTTGTAAGCTGTGTCTATGTTGCACACAGTTTTGACTGCACTGACAGGCGAGTTGTATGAAAACACACAGACTCACGAACTCACAACACAAAGGAACTTGTCAAACAATTCAAGCAACTCTTTAGTTCAAGAGCTAATCAATGGACTCGAGCAGAAAACTGAACTTCTCCCTTTTTTCTAATTATTTATTAGATTCAATTTGATGTATTTTTAAAAACATAAGCTTAAGCGTTAGGCTGATTCCGTCAAAACAGCCCAACTGGTGTGTACAGTCACTCAGACCAATGGGTGTTGGTTTGGAGGGAGTGTCATGTTCATCGAGTACAGCATTTGTGTGTTTCACAAGGTAACTTTGAGATCAGATGAGATTGGGCACACTCAGGGCGGCAGGACTTTGGACACACACAGTAATTTTGGATGGCTGAGTTCAGATTTTAATGAAATAAAGACCAAATAGAGTCACCTTTTCTTGTGCAAGTTTGTTAATTACAATATTTTCTCAAATTTATTGCTTGTTAAAGTTGTTTCCATTGGTCCTCTGACTGCCTGTGCTTAGACTGTGACTGCACTACTAACTCCAAACTTGGGCTATTTATATGATGTTCTTCATCTCAGCTTTGTCCTACGTAAAATAAACATGACGATGGGCCGTTTCTCACAGGCTCTTTATAACGATGACTTAAAATCATGCTTGTAAAGTGCTTGACCCATAATAAGCACTCAGTGAATTGTTATTGCTTTTGGGAGGAGGAGCTTAGGGAGGAAATTGTTGCAATGAAGTCTAACTTGAAAAATTGGGAACATTTGACAATGCTTTGTGTTGAATCTTCTAGGAACGAGGCCTAGGAGTATCACACATAATAAATGGCCTCCAGGTACTCAGAATTCTAGAATTTTCTTCTCATCTTTAAAATGTCATAATTTGGTGACACAAATATGCTAAAATTCTGACATGCCATAAATAGCCATTCTTTGTTCTGGAACTGAAGTTGGCAGGAGCCAAAGTTAATGTTCAACAGTGTTTGCAGACACTCCGGGCAGCTAATTAACCATCCATCGATGGGGCTGACCTAGCTGATGCTAGGAGCCTGCCCACCTGGTTTATATTTCTTCCTCTAAGATTAATGACTCTATAATACTTCTGATTTCTGGAGTTAATGCAGGGCACACATAGAGTCCCAGGGAGAACTCAGTTTTTTCAGGGTTATATGCACTCAAACTAAGTTTTCGTTTTCACAATGTGATCAAATTTGAATTGAACCTTTTCCTACAGTGGGATGTTGAGTCTGGTGTGTGCACAAAAAAGCTATCTGTGTTATTCCCATGAATTGCTGTCAAAAAACAGTGCCAAAAACGATAAAGAAAACAAGAACAGTGTTTTATTCTTTCTTCCTGCATGGAAGGTTGTGTTTTTCTTTTGACTTCAATAGAAGAAAAACAACTAAAATACAACCTTAGGTAAAGATAATTCCACCAGTTAATTTGAAGCTCTGTGCAGGGACTTGAATTATTCTTAAATCAGCAAGCATGTGAATAATTTCTTTATATCTTTTCTATTACATAATGCATTAGCTAAGTGACAAGCCTCCTTTTTGAAATCTCCCTCTCACCACCTTTGCCTCCACATATAAACCACATTATCCACTGGCAGGATTGAGAATTAAACCACTGGCTAGTTAACTTGCATGGTGGAAAAAGCTCTTTGGTGGGCCCCAAGTATAACCCAAGACAAGAAAGGAAGCTGGAAAGAAAGAAAAAAGGAGTTAAGATTAATTAAAAAGAAACTACTGTTTTCTTATTCTTTGTCTCTATTTGCTTAAACCATAGAGATATAGGTGAGAGTTTACCACTGAAGTTCTCAATCTTTGAAGTTACATTATTTTGGGAAAGAGGCATAGCTTACATTGTTAGAGAAAATGACATTTTTAGACTTCAGCATATGTGTGTATGTATTTGTTTTGGAAGGGTTGAATATTATTTCTTGATTCATTTTATTTTGAAAGTTTCAGTTCCAGCTATGGTAGTCCACATCCCAGGTTATTTGGGATGCCTCACCCAAATATATTTTTAAATCATTTTGAGATTTCATGTCAACTATGAGTTGACATAAAATCGGCTCCTCGGAGACACAGAATTAGAAAAATGTGACTTTAAAACAATACTTAAAGGAAAATACAGTTCAAAACACTAAACTAATACATTCTATATATTCTTATATATTCTACATATAAATAATAATACCTATAGTTAAGGACATTATGATGATTACTTTTGTGGAATTTTCTGACTTCTTAGTCTTGGCCTTTAACCTTTTCTATCTTGATATCTGCCTGAAACTTTCTGATTTAGCTGACTACTCTCTTTTGGAGTTATGGAAAAACTGATGTATATGGGCTCTGTGGTGGGGGTACTTTTCCCATGGTGACAGATCACAAGCAAGAAAAAAATGTGTGGGAGTTAAATTCAAAGGAGGCTTTGTATAGATATCAAGAAGTTATGTGTCCCTAACACATTTCTGAAAAGTAGAAGTGCATTTATGAACTATTGATTTCACAGCCTAACACTGGCCCTTTGGAAAATCCTATGGGAAACAATTTCATCATCTGGTGATATATGCAACATAGAACACTGTATAACGTCTTTTCCATTGAAGTTTAGGGCTTTAAAACTCCTCTCTAGGGTTAGGCTAGCCCATATTACAGATAAGGAAATTAAGCCCCAAGTGCTACTGAGGCTTGTCAAAGCGGTGCCATGTTTCCTACCTCGGAACAAAGACTTTTAGGTCACATGGTCTCATTTAAAGAAAGGATTCCTGGTTGTCGGTGGATCAAGCCTGTAATCCCAGCACTTTGGGAGACCGAGGTGAGAGGATTGCCTGAGACCACGGGTTTGAGAACAGCCTGAGTAACTTGGCAAGACCTCATCTCTACAATAAATCAAAAAATTAGCTGGGCATAGTAGCACACGCCTGTAATTCAGGCTACTTGGAAGGCTGAGGTAGAAGGATTGCCTGAACTCAGCAGGTAGACTCTAGGGCGGCGGTGAGCGTGCTACTGCACTCCAGCCTGGACAATGGAGTGAGACTCCGACTAAGAAAAAAAAAGAAAGAATTCCTGTGGAGGTGACTTAAAAGGAACCTATTTGTGAAGGAAAGTTTGTGGGAAGTGGAGACTTCACTCTACCAGTGCCAGGTTGATTGAGCTGCTATGATAGATGGCTTCCAAAGGCTGCCCACTAGGCTTCCCATCCTTGTCCACCCAAGATGATCCTCCCATCAAGAGGGAGGGTCTAGTTCCACTTCCCCCTGGACTGGCCTCATGTGCTTTGGCCAGTAGTATGGGGCAGAAGTGATGCTGTACCAGTTTTGGGTCTAGCCCTTAGAACACTGGCAGCTCCCACTTTTACTCTGCTGGAAGCTGGTGTTATGTTGTAGGGAGGTTCTGGCTAGACTGAATGAAAAGAGACTATGTAGAGAAAGCCATATGGAAGAGAGCAGTGCCCTCCAAGCGAGAGCCAGGTCACTTTGAATGCTCCAAGCCCAAATAAACCCTCACCTGGATACATTCCCATCAGCAACCTCCAACTAACAACACTATGTGGAGCTGAATAACTGCCCAGTTGGTCCAGACAACCCACAACAGCATAGGGAATAAGAAATAATTGCTGTGTAAACCATTATGCTTTGGGGTGGTTTGTTGCCCGGCAACAGACAAGTGATCTGTCGCCATTGCTAGTGCAGCCTACATCGTGGTTTGGCGCCATGCTGATTTGGAGCCAGAAGTCCAAACCTGGTGCCTTTTTCCTTCTGATATGGTGGGATCAGGGCTGGTATGGCCATTCACAAATCCTGCTTTTGGAGAGGTTCTCTGTGTAACTTTTGGGATTATTTGCCAGTAAAATGCTGGTGGTCCACTTAATTTCAGCCATGATCAAAGTGCTTAAAACCTAACTTTCCTTTAGTAGATCCAAGTTCTGTTTATTTGCAGTTGGGTACTGTTTACTCTGGTTAAAGGAGATGCCCAGTCTGCTCCCCCTCGATGGATTCATCCTCCTGCTAGTCCAGGCCTGAATGACAGGTGTTTGGATAAGGGCTGTTTGCTCCTTCCCAGGATGGCAGCTGGCACAAATCACACAAGGAGAAAGAATTGTGCCTTAGGTTATGACAGATCAGTTAATATAAGATTATTTCTTAGAAGTAATAAGTTTAGGCTAGTGAGTAGCTAATTATTCTAGAGCAGGGTTTCTCAACTTTGATACTATTGACTTTCTTTTTTTTTTCTCTTTGTATCAGGGTCCCACTCTGTCATCCAGACTGAAGTGCAGTGGCACGATCATTGCTTACTGCAACCCCGACCTCCTGGATTCAGGTAATCCTTCCACCTTAGCCTCCTGAGTAGCTGGGACTACAGGTGTGCACTACCACACCCAGCTAATGTTTTTTATTTTTTGTAGAGATGAGGTCTCATTGTTGCCCAGGTTGGCCTCAAACTCCTGGGCTCAAGGGAGTCTGCTGCCTCGGCCTCCTAAAATTTTGGGATGAAAGGCATGAGCCACCATGCCTGGTCTGCTATTGACATTTTGAGCTAGATAAATCTACACTGCAAAGGCGGCATCCCTGGCCTCTGCCCACTAGATGTCAGTCACACGCTACTGCAGTTGTAACAATTAAAAATTGTCAAATGTGCCCAGGTTGGGGGTGGGGACAAGATTACTCTGGAGAACCACTGGTCTAGAATGATCCCAAAGACTTCGTAAACAGGACATACTCTCTGAGCTGATCGTTGGGGATACTGATAGGTGATGCAGAAAGTGGGCTGCTAGAAATGGAAAATACCATTTTGGCAACCCCACAGTAGTGCCAGAAACATCCAGACAGAACACCAGTCACTGGGGTAGTAAGTACTGTAGTTAAAATTTTAGAAATGATACCAGGCTTATTATTATTTTAAGTTTAGGAGAATTTACTTTTTTTATTCATTTATGCAACAGCAAGGTATGTACTCAGAGACTAAACAGATTAGCCAGCTGGAAAAAATACTACTTCTTGTCTCAAGATCCTGTTGCAGCAACATCTCTCCTTGCTGGGAAGTTAAACAGCCCTCACTTCCTTCCTTTTAATATTTTTCACTTTTCTCTCAATATCGTCCTCAATTCCTCTAACACTGGTATCGCCTAAGAGTTGATTTAGAAGTGGGCACTCTGAGATAATGTTTCCTTGGCTTATGGACTAGGGCATCCAACAGAAGAGATGTTTGGACACAATAACTATTTCAGAAATGATAATCAATTCAGAAAATAAAGCAAACTCAATCACAACCTTCAATATAAAAGTGCAGCTTTGAATGGCTAACCAGGTGTTTCCTCTGCTCAGCTTGGACGGGACAGAACTCAGGCATGAGCTTCAGATACTTAGATCATCCCACCCACACCCCCACTTCCATCCCCACCCCCACCCTCATCCCCATCCCCAGCTCTGGAGCAAGACTTGTACTCTGGGATAGTTCTATCTTGAGAAAAAACAGACGGACTTTTTTGGTTTTTTTTAAGCCTTATGCCAATCATTAGCTAAATTCAGCGAGTGACTAGGGGTTGGGCACACTGTCCAGGTAGGGGCGTCTGGGTCACCCATCAGCAGCATCTCCTAGTCATAAAGGCAAGTAGTGCTCTGATATTGAATAACCCAGCTGTAAAAGGCCTTTGAGACTTTGGGGCAGCCAAAGCCAGTGAAAATAAGCAACACAAGTTAGCAATGCCCTGTGAGGACATTTTTGAGGAAGCCTTCACAAGTCTGCCAACCTCCAAGGTGTTCTGTCACATGCAGAGTCATCAAAAAGACAGGTGACTCAAAGTGTCACAGCTTCCATTGGTGGCTCTATCTCAAGTCCCTCCATAACAACGATATCTAACTCATTTCTCCATTTAGCTAGGAAAAGTCAGCCTTTACGCATTGGTCAGCTTGCTGCCTCAGAATTTTAAAACGCCTCTTGTTATTTACATACCTGTATATGCCCTCTACCAGGATGAGAATCTTTTTCCAAGCTCTGTGGGTCCGAGGCTGACCATAGATGACAGCATCTCTCAGGAGCTTCTCTAGGTTTTGTATGTCTTTAAATAACACCAAAAAAAAAAAGAAAGAAAGAAAGAGAGAAAGAAATTGAGTCAAGAGAGCATTTTTCTTTTCCTCCCTCATTTTCTTTATGGAGGAGGCCCCAGATTTTTTCAGGTTCACTCTCAGACCTATATTTTCAGAGAGCAAAGTCGAAATCAGAGGACACCTAGGGAGAAAGAGAGGTCTACTTTTCAGTAAAACTTAACTCTGACAAGATGAATAGTTGGGTTTGTACAGTAGGCAGAGTAAGACCCCACCAGGGCCGCATGGTTTCTTAGGCTTTTATAAGGCTCTCACCTTTTGCCTTAGAGTGATTGAAATTCTACATTAAATGCCTCTCTAAGGTTTAAGCTTTGTTGCCAGGTTAAAGTGAAGTCTAAGAGAGACAATTAACTACTACTTGTCAATTGTTCAGACACGGAGTGTGTTAGAGTTCAGCTGAGTTTGCATGGCTCTCACTCTTACTCTTTGGGACTTGATTTTCAACATCCTCCAACTTCAGACATTTCAAAACTTTAAAGCAGTGGGACAATTGACTTTTTTTTTTGCAAAATACTGGAACCGTCTGGACATATTAATAAGAGCTCACAATATTGAACCCTGTGTGCCAGGCACCTCTTTACGTCCATTCTTTGTCATAGCTCATCTAATCCTCACAAGGACCCACTGAAGGAGGTACTAGTAGAATCTTCATTTTATAACTCAGGAAATCAAAGCACTACCTGAAGTCTAACATTGTAAACAGCAGAGTCAGGATTTGAACCCGTGAAGTCTGTGCCATGATTCACAGAGAGCCACTGTCTCTTCTCAAACTAAATGGTGATGTTCAACAAGCAAGGATGAATGTCTGGCAAATATTCTTGTTAACTTGTAACGTCAAATCTAATCAATAGTGACATTTCATTTATCTGCAATCAGATATAGATGGTTGGGTTTGGGTTAAGAACGCGTTTAGAAGGGCTTGCCTATCAACCCAGTTGTTTGGTATGTGTGTGTATTTTTTCTTGTTTTTCACTTTTAAAGAAGGAGAGAAAAAATGCAGAGATTTATGTGCCTGTTTTTTTAAGACTCATATTTTTACTATATATCTTTTGATTTCCTAAGCTTTCTCTTTTTTGAGAATCTGAAACTGAAATACTTTCTGTCTAGAATCTTATCTTAATTTAAAAAGGTGGAGCTTAGCCGGGCTTGGTGGCTCAGCCTGTAATCCCGCGCCTTTGGGAGGCTGAGGTGAGTGGATTGCCCGAACCCGCGGGTTCGAGACCCGCCTGGGCAGGCGAGACCTCATCTCTACAATAAATCAAAAAATTAGCCGGGTGTGGTAGCGCGCGCCTGTACTTCCAGCTAATTGGAAGGCTGAGGCGGAAGGATCGCCGGAGCCCAGCAGGTCGAGGCTGCGGTGGCCGGGAGCGGCCACTGCACTCCAGTCTGGGTGACAGAGTGAGACTCCAACTCAAAAAAAAAAAAAAGATGGAGTTTGAAAGACCCAAAATGGATTCAATAAAGAGCAGCCATTTTCACATTGCTTAGCTTTGCTATGTTTTTCTAGCAGTTCACTTTAATTTACCCTCTAATCAATAGCCAAGGACAGAACCAGTTTCTCAGAGGTAACTATTGATAATTGTTTTACAACCCCTCCCAGGCTTGTTTTGTACTTTTCTATTCCAAGTTAGCTTTTCTTTTCCAAGTATTTGCCTAAACCAAGTTAACCTAATTAGTCCCTCATGACCTTCAAGACACAGGCAGACCCCATCACCATGGCAGCAGTCATGTGACTAACCCACCCATCTGCCTGTTGTCCACTACCTGACATCAGTACCTGTGTTTACCTGCCCTTCATGATGACATGAAACAGACCACCACCCAATCACCTTAACCACTTGCCCCCATCAAAGGTAAGGTTTAAAAGCATTCAACCTCAAGCAGCCATTTGCCATTGCTTTGCTAAACTCAGGTCTGGCCATGTGACTCTTTGAGCTATGGTCACCATGTTTTCCTAGCTGTGGCCCCCTTCTCTGCCTTGGGGAAGTGAATCTCTTCTCTCTGCCTCTCTAATTTACTTTCTACATAAACTATATTTTCCAATCTAATCTTTGTGTAATTCTTTGCATCTTTTGCATGGCACTGGATCACAGACCCTCTCCTGGTCTGACTTAACAGATATACTACTTTACTGTTGTCTTGACTGTTACATAATGTTCATTAGGCATTAGAGACACCATTTAAATGCTCACGACAGGAGAAATCCAGCAAAGATAAATCTAAAGCCACAGAGTTGATACTGGTTTTGACCACTGCAGATGAAGCGCTCAAGAAGCAGATGTTCATTGGTTTACCACTCACTGGTCTAGGCTCAAATTAGCTGAAGTTCTTGGTCTCAGTGGAGAGCCCTACAACTTTGTCTTCAGTCTGTGGTTAGATCTGTTTTAGGCTTTCCCTAAAGCAGGGTGAATTCATTACCAGATGCATTAACTTTTCCATGTTACAACCCTGCTATGCTCAATGAGACCACAGCTATTTCTTTGAAATAGAGTTGTGTGTGTGTGTGTGTGTGTGTGTGTGTGTGTGTGTGTGTGTGTGTTTAAATTGATCAAGTACATTTGAGTAAACCACATTAAAATAAAAGTATCTTCATGTGAAAGTAGGGTAGGATAAATAAGAATTTGATAGTACAACGTTAGAACTTTTTCTCTGAAAAGGCCCTAGTGACCATAGTGCTCCCAAGATGTCTCTAGCATCAATACACTAGAGTCTGGATCTTATGTCCTGAAATTCAGAAGAAGTGTGTGATGAAAATAAGATGCTGTGTGCTAGAGTTCTCTCTTGGACATCTAAGCACTAGTGATAGTACACTCTGACATCCTTTGTTCTGCTTAAGAAAACTTGTACTATAAATAATGAAGAAATGAAGGAAATCTGTAATAAAATAATGAAGAGTTAAGAGTATGTTTCTTCATTCAAATACATAAAGCCCTAGGTATTATAAATAGCTCCCTTTTAGTATGCTATCAATAATATTTGGCATGATGTGAGAACCAACAGATATTTTTAAAAGGTCATTTTTCTTTCCTTAATAATTAGCCTTAGACTAACCTTTTAGGTGATATATCAGTTTAGATGTGGAATTAATCAATCTCACCATGATAATATGGTATTTGCGAAAGAAGAAATGGTGGATCTTCATTTTATTTTATATCACATCCCCTCCCCACCCCCTCTTCATCTGCAAAGCAGGCCTAATGATATCCCTGGAGTCACTAGCATATCCTATTTATAAAATATTCTCTAATTACCACATTAACAGAGCTTTCTTCAGTCTTGTTCTACTTGACATGTGGCCAGCATTTGACACAATTCATCATACTCTTGTGTTTTATGCTTCTCCCCTTTGGTGTCTAGTCACCATTCTTACTGGTTTCTCTTACCCCTCTTCCCACTATATCTAGAATTCTTTGTTGGAGTCATTTCTTCTTTCTGCCCATTTTATTTTTGTGTTTTGTTCCTTGTCCTTTTTTCTATTTTGTCATTTATTTGCTATTGGTTCTCAATCTTCAGGATGCATAGAAATCTGCATTTTAACCAAATTCCCCCCAATAGAAGAAATTCGTTAAAATGCAGATTTATTCCTTCCTTCCTTCCTTCCTTCCTTCCTTCCTTCCTTCCTTCCTTCCTTCCTTCCTTCCTTCCTTTCAAAGCAGGATTTATTGAGAAGACACAAAATTTCCCACAGTGGGAGGGGACCCAAAGGGGTTGCCCCTGAAATTACTACTTAGACATTTTGAATTGGTTGGTATGGGGTGGGCCACAGAAGTTTGCATGTTTTGGACTCTGAAACTCATGACTCAAAGCCAGACTTCTATTTTGAGCTACATAATGTTTTCTGACCACCTTTTAGACAAATCCATGGGTACCTCAAACCCAGTATTTCCAAGATGGAACTTGTGGCAGATTGCCTTATTGGGCCCCATTTCCCTTCTCCCCCTCCCCTTGAAGTCCTTTCCTATGTGACTTTACAGGTCTTCCCACTAAAGAGGTGGGCATTTCCCTCTTGCTTGACTTGGGTTCAGCCAAGTGCAGTCAGGTGTCTTGCTTTGGCTAATAGAACACAGAGAAGAGACAGTTTGCTAAATCCAAACCTAGGTCTGAAGAGGTCTTACATATTTCTACTCTTTCTCTGGTGCTTCTGCTGGTGACATAAAAAGAACATATCCAGGATAGCCCACTGGTCCCAAGCTGGCCCCAGGAGAGAATGAGAGACATAAAAGGCACATTGCCTCAACCCACCTGGAGTCCTGAGTGAGAACTAAGTGACTGTTGTTGTATATCACTGATGTTTTGAGGTTTTTCCCCCAGTAATAATAACCCAGTACAGTCTCAAATAGCCCTTCCTGACCTAGCCTCTGCCTGTCTTTCTGACATAGTTTGAAGAAACCTCCCCCAACTCCCCCCAAGCTTCCTGAGTCTCAGACATGCTTTTTTCCCTCTCTTGTCTGTGTGGGAGCTGCTATTCATCACTCAGGGCTTATCTAATATTCTTCTGGTCAATAATACAGAGCTAAGGGCTTTCTCCCGGGTGTCCCTTATGGCTCCTCCATTCTTTTAATCACTCACAACATCGCTTATTAGTTGCTTTCATGTATCTCCTTCATGGAAGGTAGGGACCTTATCTTCTTCATCCTTTAGACATAGTCCTAGTGAACAATATTAGTACTAAATCAAAATGGGATCAATTTCCTTTTCATGGAGAAAGAATGCAGACCAGAAGACAGGAAAAAAATGCCACTTTTGGCTCTAAATAAGAATTATTAGAAAGGATAATTGCCTCATGTCTATAGTAATTTTTTTGTTTTGGGGGGGATCTAGGTCTAACTCTATCAACGAGGCTGGAGTACAGTGCACGATTACAGCTTACTGCAGTCTTGACCTCCTGGGTTCAGGTAATCCTCTTACCTCAACCTCCTGAGTAGCCAAGTCTACTGGCATGCATCACCACGTC